AAAAACAAAGCTTTGCTAGGACAAAAAACAAGGAACAGACACAAAGCAGAACTGATGTATTCGTTTACACAAAAAACTGTTCACACGGGGGCTCCCCGATGAACTTAACGGTTACATTTGCTGACTACTTCTACTCTAAATGTTACTATGGCCGCTCGGCGGCATCGGCTGATGCCAAAGGTGAGGCCACAGCACATGCCACTAGACATAACCATCGCCGCAAGGACCCCGCCTGGTTCCGCTCCCTCGACTTCGGCGAGCACAATGGGTTCCTCAAGGGCGACGCACCCATAGATGCTCAGTAGAAGAACATGGAGCTCCGGACCTTCTCATGCAGTCGAGGTAGCTCCTGGATAGGGACGCCAGCTATGGCTACCATGGCTGGGGGATGTCTCATCAAACTTTATGAACTGGCCTACCTGAGCGGCTGCAAGGGTGAAACACCCCACTAGTGCAATCCTGAACGGCTTCCCCTCCAACAAGACTCACACGGAGAAGATTCACCAGAAGGAGTCCACATATGGCTCCATCCCGATGAAGGCCTCACAGACGGTGATGAAACTGGCGATGCGCAGCACCCTCCAGTGCGCCACCTCCTTTGGCGGAAGCAGCCCATTCTCGGCGAAGGCGGCCAGCACCATCTCATCTACATTGGGTAAACTCCAACTCGACATTGCGTTCCAGAATCACGAACGAGTCTGTGAGTTCTCCTTTCCCTCTCCCTTCCCCTTTTTAAAGAAGAGGCAGAGCAGTTGGGGAAAGGCGAAAGGATTGGGGTAAGAAACTCTTTCCCTTCCCCCATTCAATACGGATGGGAAACGATGGGACGTGCCCCGACCGATGGGATGCACCCTGCCCAACGTAACGGTGCCTGGTCAGATGGGACGTGGCCTGGGTATGGCCCACCACAACCGCACGCCGAGCGCGAGAATCAAAGCGACACCACACGTAGGCGGCCCTCCGCCTTCCCAGGCGGGACTTGGAAAGGCCCAACTATGGGATCTCTGCCTAGGAGAGACCATCGAGCTTCTTGAGTCGATCAAACGGCTCAGGCGAACGCCGAGAGATAGGTAAGGAGCATAGGGACGCCCCATGTGGGCCATGCTGACTCTGTCATGAACGATGAGCGCGGATCCCGGTCGGACATATCCGATAGGAGCTCCTCAAACCCCGTCACTCGAGTCATCAAGGTAACATTACCAACCCCCACTATTTCTTTAAAAACATTCATTCATCCATGCACGCATTCATTTATTCCATACATCCAAAAGCATCGCATATGCAGTTAAATGCATCACAATGCTCCGTGTTGCGTCACGAAGTGGCAGTTGCCTCATTCAACATGAGCAACGACTGACCGGGGTTCGAAGGCCAGCCCACGATAGGCTCGAGGCCGCCTTGCGTTAAACAGAACCAGGGGAGAAAACGCAGATGAGCCCCAAGCGGCCCTCACCCAGTCTGCCCCAAGGCAGACAGGGTCATCTTGACCTTTCCGTTCGATCCTAACCTCCCACCAAACCCACAGAATCTCTGTCGAGGGGAGGCCAGCGGACCACCCGGGTTGGCCTTTGGAACGATCCAGGCATCTGTCGGGTTGCAGGTTAAGGAGCAGTGGAATGTCACATGAGGGCTATGCCGACCCCATCACGAATGATGGACCTAGATTTCACTCGAACGTGCCCGTTAGTGAGCTCATGGAGCACGTCACTCGAGCCATCGAGGCAAGCGACGTTAGCTTAGCCCCTCCAGTTGCTAAAAACCACGGATGGGGTAACGCACAAAACTCAACCAACCCCTTCCGATCCCAATGAGGCTCAGGGACCCCATCCCTCGGCTATGCCTCGGCTGCGCCTGACGCCTGGATCTATGAGTCAGCCTCGCCCGATCCCTCGGTTGTCCACCGCACCCGACTCACGGGTCTCCAACCCTGAACTCACCCCATCCCTCGGCTTCGCCTTGGCTACGCCCGACGCTTGGGTCCACGAGTCCGTCTCGTCTGATCCCTCGGTTGTCCGCCGCACCCGGCGCACGGGTCTGCGACCCCGAACTCGCCCCATCCCTTGGCTTTGCCTCGGCTACGCCCGACGGCTGGGTCCATGAGTCCATCTCGTCTGATCCCTCGGCTGTCCGCCGCACCCGACGCATCGGTCTGTGACCCCAAACTCGCCCCATCCCTTGGCTGCACCTGACGCTTGGATCCACAAGTCCACTTCTCCCGATCCCTTGGCTGTCCGCCGCACCCGACGCACGGGTCTACGACCCCAAACTCGCCCCATCCCTCGGCTTTGCCTCGGCTGCGCCCGACACCTGGGTCCACGAGTCTGTCTCGTCTGATCCCTCGGCTATTCGCCGCACCCGACGCATGGGTCTGCGACTCCTAAACTCACCCCATCCCTTGGCTTCGCCTCGGCTGCGCCCAACGCCTAGGTCCACGAGTCTGTCTTGTCTGATCCCTCGGCTGTCCCTTGGCTGCACCCGACACATGGGTCCGTGACCCCAAACTCGCCCACCAAGGTGCACACACACGCCCGCTGACAAAACCCCCCAGGTGATTCCACTCGAATCACCCGGGGGCTCGGGGGCTACAACCGCGGGTGCGCTCACGCGCACCCGCCGTCAAAGCAAAAAATTCTCCCGCTGGCAAAACGAAATACCCCCCAGACGATTCCACTCGAATCACCCGGGGGCTCAGGGGCTACACCCTCGGGTGAACATGCACGCACCCGCAGACAAGACAAAAATCCCCTAGACGATTCTACCCGAATCGCCTGGGGGCTCGGGGGCTCCTGTCGGGTTCATAAACCTGGGGTCCCTAACGGACCTGCTCCCCGGCAAGTGCTCGGCCCAGCGGACGACATTGCGAACGACGTGCAACTCCTGGGCCGGCCCAAATACCTAACGACAGGCCAGAAGGATGATCCAGTCATCGACCGGAAGGCGTGGCCAAGGAAGAATAATGCTCACTTCCGACTCCGGTTCACCTCTCCGACCGGAAGGCCTGGCCCAGGAGGAACGACGCTCGCTTTCGACCCCGGCCCGCCTCTCCGACCAGAAGGCCTGGCCGAACGTCCCGCCTCCACGCTCCGACTCCGACCCGCTCTTTCGACCGGAAGGATGCATCGGACCCCTGCCTACAATTCTTCTTTGACCGGCGCTATCGGAGCCGACTGGGACCAACCGACCGGGGGCGCCCGCTCGGTGAGGACCAGGAAATGGGCGAAGCAAGTAAGGCAGGACACTCAAGTCAACCGCAATACCGAGGACCGTACCTTGTACAACTGTAGGACAGTACCGACAAGACAAATCAGAAGGGGTGCCCTGCAACCTTCGAGGCATGTCAGAGCCCAAATAGCGTTGAGGCCGACATTTATCCTAGTGTTGTGGGCGCTCTCAACTCCCATACCAGGCAGACATGGTAGGCCCCCACGTGCATCTGGGCATCCATAGTGTTGTGGACGCTGGCATTTACCATACCTAGAAGGACACAGTAAAACCTCCCACATGCGTCTGGCATCAACAATGTTATGGGTGCCTACAATCATCTTGTACCCGACGGCGTGGGCAACAAGACTTAGCATACGTACACTCTCTCTCTCTCTCTCTCTTGTAAGGCCGTCCCCTTCATCTATAAAAGGGGACGTGCTCTCTCCAAAGGGGATCAGTTCACTTAGATCGATTCAACACACAAAAACAGAACCACCAGGTTCAGCCCTTGAGCACACGCTCGAACACTTAACGCATAGCGGAGCTCCCGTCACTCTCGGCCCCTCAGACCAGAGTCCAATCGGATCTCTTGTACCCCCATCTTTCTCCTTCTCGTTTGTAACCCCACTGCAAACTTCAAGCACCTAGGCTCAGAAATAAAGTCACCAACCGACTCAAACTGGACGTAGGGCACGTTGCCTGAACCAGTATAAACCCTGCGTCATTGAGTGCTAGGCCACATCCGATCACAACATACGGCAAAACTACAAATATTTACGTGTTGGTCACTTTCTGCACCGACACATTGTGTCATCTTGTCCCGAGGATTTCATTGGTTTTCTTGCGATTGATTGATCATCGCTTGCCACGTCGGTATATCTTCACTACCCTCACTTGTATTTACATTCTCTAGTGTAGCTAAGCTCTTTAGTGTAGTTAGTTTTGAGAGCTACCTTCTCGCTTGTGTAGTAGTTAGTGAGGCTCTTTAGTTAGTCTTTGAGAGCTCACTAACTTATTAGTAGTGACTTAGCCCCTTGTGTGAATTAGAGACTATAGTAACTAGAATTATGGTAGGTGGCTTGCATTTTTTAGTAGGCTAGCGCAACACTCGCTCCGCTTCATAATTGTCTAACCAACTTGTTAAGTGTTGTTATAAAAATTTTTATAGGCAATACATCCCCTCTAGCCATTAGGACCTTTCACCGTTACACCTTGAAACCGATGGAAGTATCAGATAGGTAAGGAAATTTGAAATGGTAGACAAATAAGAAAGATTTCAAGTTTGGTTATCAAATAAGAGAGCATAAATTTTTCCAGTGTCAAATAGAAAATTTTATCTTAATAATTCTAATGTTATTTGGAATGTTATCTTGTAACACTGTCATTTTTATATATATCTTACTATACATTATTTTTGTGGAATAATTATAGCTGCTACAAACACTGTTCAGTACTCCATCCATTCTAAATTATAAATTATTCTGACTTTTATAGACATATTACTGTTGCGATATACCTAGATATACACTAAAAAGAGATAGAACGATTTGCAATTTAAAATAGTGGGAGTAATTTAAGAAAACCTGGGTAAATTAGAACAACAACAAATCTACAACTTTTTTTAGCTATTTCTAGCATGAGGCTCAACTAATAACCAATTATGTTAAAAATTAATATGTTTTTAATCTATAAGCTAGAAATTATATTTAATTATTGGAATGAAAAAAAAATATTATAGTTGAACAATATGAATATATGATATCCAAACTAGATACGGATCTGAACGAGCCAATCATTCATATGTCGTTTTGTAGACGGATGGAACAGCAACCAAAACCATTGCAAGGCCCTTGATTCGGCAATACCTTGCCGTGGCACCTGCTCATGCAGGAGTCGATTGGGTTTCTCATAGAGTCAAACAAGTCAACATCGAAATCGCAGCCAAGGAAGAAGAAAGTGTTATAATAACTGGAGATAGTAATACCCTTAACGGGGGCATCCCATGATACATTGTAGGTGTTCGTACCATATTCTTCCATGCTAGTACCGTTGAAGAACATAGCAGGGACGTAAACTAAGTTACTATCTCCTATGCTTATGTAAGTAACCTGAGTTGTGCTGTTGCCCAGAAACAACTTTGGAGGTTGAGTGGTGTGGTTGCAGGTAAGCTCGAAGCCTTGTCGGAAGCAGCCGGGCCCAACGCCGAAGGGGTAGGTGATGTCGACGTTCCCACAGCTGGAGGGGCAGTGATGAGCTAAGGAGGCAGCGGACGGGATATACAGTATCCCTCCGTCGTCACCCGACGCTGCAGATGCAGCCGGCATGGCCGCCAAGCACGCCAGAGCGAACGCCATGGCGCAAACCATTACTCTACTCGAGCTCATGATTAAGTCAATCAGCTTGTCTGTGCGTTGTGTGAAGCGTCGGGGTTCTGGGTTTACGGTACTAGTACGCGTCACTGCTCCCCAACAGCAAGCACACTAGGCGCTTGAGAGTTGGTTTGGGACTCTCTCTGCGGTCCAGACCTACTGGACACTTCTGGCCCCTATTCCATGGACTTCACAGTTCACAGGTCCACACGTGAGTACGTGACTTCCTATTAAGAAAACGATCTTCCTATTAAGAAACTTCCTAGAGCATTCCATCCTCTCCCAGATCGAAAGGCAAGGATCCAAGGTGAAGAGCTGTACTTGGAGCTGAACTCCCAACTCGGAGGGCAGCGCCAAATGAGCTCATCAACCACCCCTTGCCCCAAGTTTACTTCTGTTAGTCGATCCCAGAGCTTTAGTATTGTACCAGAGCCTGGACTGAGACGCCTCCAGTGATCTCTCAAATCCACTGCCCGTTTGCAAGGGCTTGCGCAACCGACTGCGTTTTCTGCTTACACTTGCAGACCAGCTGCGAGAGGGCTGGGGCTACCTCCGAATCTGTCGGGTTTTGAAAGTTACAAGGCTATTATGTTAGCCGGTATTCGAGTTTTAGAGTGTTTTTTAAAATTCAGTGAGAAATTCAGGAAAGCTTTGTGTTACACTCAACCGGCGTACATACGCTGGACGCTGGCGCAACGCCGAGACCAGGACAGACAGCTAGCCTTTGACAACGCGAACCAACATGTTTGTGCAGGTGGCTGAGTGGCTCCGTAACAAGCAGCTGTTCGTACTTGATAGGTTGGGCCATCTAGTTTTGCTTCATCTAGAACGAATTCGATTTCTACACCTGAAGACACTAATGCCTTTACATTAACAAGATATAACCTATCTAGCCTTTCACTTCGTTGTGCTGTAAATCCTCTGTTCTATTCCACGTGCCAAGATCTCTGGTTTGTACTAGAACAACTACAGGTTAATATGAAGTGTTACTTTGTCTGAATATATGCAGGTTTGAGTTCAAGCTGGCCAGCACGCGAGGACACTCGTCCGAGCATGAAATGGCAGGCATGTCAAAATATCATTGCAGTGCAACTTCAAAGTAAGCTATCTAACTGCCATTTTGATGAGGATGTCACCTGTCACCTCGATCAAACTTCAGGCTGGATCAGGCGACACCGGCTCGCACCAGAGAAGCGACGAACGGGAAGCCCAATACGCGCGTGACCGGGCCGGACTGGGTTAGTAGCAAGTAGACAGCTGGGCAGCTAGTACCGCCTAGGTGTTTCTTAAAAATAATAAATAAAAAACTAGTGCCGCCTAGGTGCGGTTTAAAACAGAGCACCGCGCTCGTGTTTTTTCGAGTGAAACAAGAGGGGGTGCGCCCCTACCGAGCTTTTATTAAAACTATAAACAGAATTTTAGAAAGATGTCTCATGAGACAAAAAAGAAAATAAAAAAAATACACATGGACTTCTAGCCTTTGAGAATGGCCCCGTTCGTTTCGCTGAAAAAACAAGCCGAAGCACTGTTCCGGCTGATTTGTTGTGAGAGAAAAATACTGTTCCGCTGAAAAAATAAGCTGAAAAAGACGGATTATAAGAGAAGCGAACAGGGCCAAAAGGTTGATAACTTGGCCTTGCTCGAAATATAACCCAAGCAAACTCTCTTTTGAAAATCCTCTTGAAACTTTAGAAAGAAGGAGCAATATTCCTAAATATAGCATCATTTCAAACTTCCCAAATTGACCAAGCCAAAGTTACTACGATCTCCATGAAGAAAGGCACATTGTAACTATCGACAGAATATCGTCGGCAGTCCTCCGAGAGGTATCCTACGAAGGTAGATTGATCGGCAGTGGTGCGCGTAATCAAGAACAAGAAGGCAACAGAGACACAAGAGTTAGACAGGTTTGGGTCGTCTGCACGACGTAATACCCTACTCCTGTGATCTGTTGGTTTGTATTGTCTATCGTATGATATTACGTGTGTTTTGAGGAGTCCCCTACCAGCCTTATATAGCCGGGGGTAGGGTTACAAGTCGGTTAGATCTAGGAGATAACCGATAAGTAATAACATATTACAGGAAACATTAATTTAATCTTTGAACTACAAGGTACTAAATAGGGTATAGCGGGTTAGTAGTGGATTGGTGTCAATGTAGCGGGCGCTATTGCAGACGCTAAGTTCCAATAGCGGCATTGGTAAGCACATTAAGTTTAAGCATATATGTTATGAATAATGGGTATAAATATGCATTCAATTATTCTCAAAGAACTTATGTCTCACATACTTAAATTAAGAAAAAAACATGGTGTTCCACACATTACATATAAGTCATTATATATTGTAGTTCATAAATAAGTAGATTATGAGAGCCGTAAATATATAGTTCATAAGACCACCATCCATAACTTCATCAGTCTCATGGTCACTTAAACCATCTGCATATCTTGAGTGGGAGTCATAGTGGACGTACTAGGGTTATTTGTTGCATACCCATATCACGCTATTGCGGACACTACGAAAAATTGCTGACTGCTATTGTGGCTTGCTAACTTAAATAGCAGCCGCTACTTCTAACTTCCTAAATCTAGTCCGCTCCTTCATAGTGGTAGTAACAGACCGCTACCGCTATTGCGACTGTTATAGTGGGCGCTACGACCGCTATTTAGTACCATATGATCAACTATGCTCGGGGCTCGATTTCATATATAATCTTTCAAACCGACTATATTAGCAAAGTTTATATTTGGGCTCAGTCTCATCTCGATCATGACTATCAAAGAGACCATTTCAATCCTCAATCTTTGCATTTTTATGCTAAATATCATCGTAAACTATATATCAAAGTGTATTTTAGTTCTTAAATTTTTCTTTTGAACTCAATTTCATCCCTCGTCCTATTTGAAACAATGCACTGTCACGGCTGGTCAGCTCTATTTAGAAAGAAAAACAATATTAGTGAACGGTCTAAAAGCTCTTTAGCAGACATTAAAGTGAGAAAATTTTCTATTTGACACTAAATTATTTGAAACCCCAACTTGAAATCTTTTTTATTTGTCCACCCTTTAAGTTAGGAGAATATTGTCTATCTATGTGTTATGTAATGGATGTGAACATGTCTGACAATTTCCTATTCTATATATGTGAACCTGGAAGCTAAATGATCAAATCGTTTAAGCTATGTTACTGTAGTGTTGTTATGCTATTATCATGTTGCATGCGAAACCTGGATGTTATTGGCCATCTCATGTTAGTCATTTTTATGCACCTAATTGATTTATATTGAATGCATGATATTTATAAGATGATGCTGTGCCTTTAATTTATGAGATCTCTTAATTTATAGAAGCAATTAAAAAGGGAAGTGTAACATTTAAAAGAAATGCCAAAAAAAAGACAGCAATAACCAGCATGTGAGAACATGCATTAACCGCCTGGACCGAAGGAATACAGCAGGGGCAAAACAATCTTTTGACATGAGATTTAACACCGTTAAACCTTCAAACTGACAGAAGTATCAGGTAGGTAAGGAAAATTGAAAGGGTGGACAAATAAGAAAGATTTCAAGTTTGATTGACAAATAAGAGTGCACAAAATTTTTCAGTGTCAAATAGAAAATTTTCTCTTAATAATTCTAATGTTATGTAGAAGTTATCTTGTAATAGTATCATTTTTATATATCTTACTATATTGTTTTTGTGGAATAATTATTACGAACACTATTTAGTACTCCCTACATTCCAAATTGTAAATAGTTTTGGCTTTTATAAACATATTACTTTCGCTGCATACCTAGATATACATTAAGAAGCGACAGAATGACTTCCAATTTAAAATAGATGGAGTATCTTAAGAAAACACTAGTAAATTAGAACAACAAATCTACAACTTTTTCTTAGCTATTTCTAGCGTGAAGCTGAACTAATAACCAATTATGATAAAAAAATAATATCTTTTTATCAGTAAGCTAAAATTTATATTTAATTATTGAAATGAGAAAAATAAAATTGTAATTGAACAATATGAATATATGATATCTGAAATAGATACGGATCCGAACGATCCGATTATTCATATTCAAGAGTATTTGGATCTTATTTATATTTATTTTAAATTATGGATATAAATATCAAAAGTGTGATGTCCGGATCGATAGCTAGGACAACGTCACATACACCGGGACCAAAGACTGTCTCCAATAAGAAATCTAAATGGGCACAAAAACCCAAAATGGGTAGTAAGAGACCTAAAATTAGCCTCCAACAGAGTACCTATACGGGAGACCTATTTTGGGTTGCCTGAGAGACACAACCCAAATATGGACATCCTCTCTCCTAGAAACCCATTTGCAGAAAGGATTCTCTTTTGGGTCTTGTTGTTAGAGAAGATGCCGAATATATATTGAACCTTTTGCCAATAGCGCTACCCAAAGAACGAATGAGTCTTGTATTTTGGGTATTATTGTTGAAGATAGTCTAACGATGACCATTTATCTTAAATCGCGGGTGGTCCTAGAGCTAACAGACGCGACATCACGGTGTTCCATGTAAGGCAAGTAATGACAGTGAGCAAAAAAAAAGTTGAAGGACTAAAATGCACTTTGGTAGTTCAAAGGTGAAATCGAATTCAAAATATAAAGCTTAAGGACTAAAACGAGGTGACATTGAATTCAAAATATAAAGTTTAAGGATCACTTTGATAGTTCTAGGATGAACATGAGCCAAAAAAATAATATACTTATTATATTTGGATATCTCATTACATGATTTATTTCCTAAAATCATTACATTGATATTTACTTATAACAAAGTTAAATGGGTATGGGATGCGAATCCATATGCGAACTATCTGTTTTGTATCAGTATTGATATTCAGATCCATATCCACATCTAATAAAAATTATAAAAAATAGTAACATTCGTATTTCATACGTATTCGATCTGTTCCATCACTAGTTTTGCGGCAGCTTGCTCTGGAGTTTCG